CTGGAGTGTAAACGCTTCGGCTATGAGAAAAAGGAGCAGCGCATGAACCAAACGAAACACACGCGAACCGAACCGAACCGAGACAGTCGAACCGAACGGTTCGGACGGTTTTCATAAATCGTCCCATCCCTGGAAGGTACCGTTCCCCTGTGCCAAATTCCCTTTATCCTTTAATGTTTTCTATTCATCTAGATTCACAGTTTTTAATATGGCATAAAAATATAACAGATCATGCAGATAGATTTCCAGACCTGCACACAACAATGGAGTTTGTATCCAAGGAAACCCAGCCGCAACAAGGAATCAATTTTACATAATTCGCTCTTCCTGGAGGAGCATGGAGCAACAGCAGACAGACTCTTGCATTGTGTCATCGAGTTTTCAGTCAGTCCTAATTCCAAGCATGCATGTATGTATGTGGCGACAGTGGAGAGGAAAACTCCCTTTTTAGAGGAAGACACTTCCAGCAGAACCAGGCTCAGTGTAAATGGCCTGTCAATGATATGTGGCCAAAAGACAAGCTAACATTCTAACTATTTGTACAGTTCACTATTAGATATAATTAAAAAAATAAAAATCAGCCACTTACATGGCTCTTTGGGAAGGTAGTAGCAAGGTAAACCCAATGGGACTATTCCACTAGAACTCTTAAGTTCTTTTAACATTAAAGATTTGCTTATTTAAATCATATAATAAATACAAATTTAAGTGGGAGATCACTGTAATAAAAAAGATGTGACTATGATGTTTTTTTTAAGTAAACAATATTTATAAACAATGAGCTTCAAGTTTTCCTTTCTTCCTTATTTAAATTTTATATTTATAATTTTCCATCTCTGCACTTTTTGGATCAATACATTGGCCAGCCAATACTTTGGGCCTATATGAATGTTTTTTTTCCTAGTAGCATCAGGGGACATATGCATGTGTATTAATTAGCTCAATTAATAGCAATGTCTTCAGATCATGAAGTGAACACATTACAGCTCCCTGCATTTACTATTTATAACTGTTTTTTTATTGTATTTTTTATTTTAATGCTTTTCTTTTCGTTTAAATTGGACATGTGTAACATTCGTTATTGTGTTATTCTTATCATGTAAATGGAAGAAAAGAAAGCAACATAAGCTTCAGTTGTGGATCGATTGATGTCAAATAATGTCGGCATCCGCCTTAAAAAACCTGTATCAGTCAACTTCTAGTATGCATTGGGAGCACAATGAGTATCCATCAATGCTGTAGAATAATATGCTTTACAGAGTTTAGTTCTTCTGAAAAGAAGCTCATTCATCTGTTTTTAATAGTTAGCCACCTTTACTACTCACCTTGGCAGTGTTAAGAGCAGCTCCATAACCTGTGGAGATACCACAGCCCAGAAGACACACTTTATCCAGCGGAGCTTTCTCGTTAACCTTGGCCAGGGAGATGTCTGCCACCACCGTGTACTCAGAGAAGGTGCTGGTCCCCATGAAGTGAAACACCTGCTTTCCTTTGCAGGTGAAGCGTGAAGAGTTGTCAGGGAGCAGCCCTCGACCCTGGGTTATTCTGCAGGGTGGAGAAACATCAGTGGATGCATTTAAATTTGGTTGCTGACTGTGTGTGTGTGTGTGTTGGGGGGGGATATAATACCACACCTAATCTTCTGGCAGAGGTTGGTCTTGGGGTTTTTGCAGAATTTGCATTCACCACACTGAGGTACATATAAGGGGATGACGGTATCACCTGGGATAACAAAAAAAAAAAAAGGAAAATGAATAATAAAAGAAATACTCCCCTTTTCATGTATTCATTTCCCGCCTCTTACCTGGCTTGAACTTAGTGACACCCTCCCCAACGCTCTCAACGGTCCCAGCACCCTCATGTCCAAGGATGACGGGGAAAAGTCCTTCAGGATCGCTGCCACTCAGGGTGTAAGCATCGGTATGACACACCCCTGTAGCAAGAATCTAGAAGGTACATGGCAATTATTTTGGGTGCATTATGAGCTATAAATGTTTTTTTCAATTGTTATGACTTTTCCAAAAAAAAAAAAGGATTATAGCAGGAATGATAAGGATACTTTTCCAATTGCCTCTTAATATAAATATGTGTGGTGAAGGCTACTGCAAAGCTCAAAGTGACATTTAGATTATTACTTAATGCATGTGAATAATCCCACATCCATACAATTGGAGAAGCAAACAGTAAATTATTTTTCAAGACCACAAAAATATATATTAATGCACATTTATTGGAGAGTGTTGGCCTAGTAGTTAGATCAGTGCTCTTGTGCTCTGAGAAGGTTGAAAGTACCCGGTCCGATCCCCACAGCCTCCACTCTGGGTACCTGAGCAAAACCCTTAACCCCACACTGCTCCCCATGCGCCACACATCGGCAGCCCACTGCTCCCCAAGGGGATGGGTCAAAATGCAGAGGTGAATTTCCCCATTGTGGGACAATGAAGGGATAAAGGAATTTTTTTAACAATTTAAAGTGCAAATAAAAACACCAGATCACTTGGATCAAATGCATTGAAAACCTTAAAGGGGCCTAGCAAGTTCTATAACTTTGATCAGTATGCAAATGTCTTCTTTTAAAATGTTCACTCCCTGTTGGTTAATCATAATCTATTTATAGGTTTTATTACACTTAGTTCTAGCTCAATTTTTTATTGTTACTTAACATGACCAAAGGTATAATATTGTGGGAATGAATACACAAGGAAGAGCCATAAAGGAGATGCAATAAACCTAATGAAGATAATAATATGTCCTATGTAGTGAGTTTTATCACAGCATATAATATATATCCCAAAAAATTAATAACTGATTTTGAGTGTGTAAACATTGACAGCAATTTAAAGGACCACTGAACAGATGCTGCAGGAATACATGCATACCCCCCGCCCAAACAAAGTCCAGTTGTATTTTTTTTATTCTCTATATTTTTATCAGATGCTGTAAATCAGTAGGTCTGTCACAATATACCATTTGTATTGCAATCGTTTCAATTTATAGAATATATTTATATATTTTTTTTTTTACTCGAGGGCTGCTGTCCTGCAGGTTTTAGAGGTTTCTCTGCTTTAGCACAGCTGATTCTGATGATTGCTGTTCAGCAAAAGCTGGTTAATCAACTATCAATGTAAATCAGCTGTGCTGGAGCAGGGAAATCTCTAAAACCTGCAGGACGGCGGCCCTCGAGGACTGACTTTGGAGATGCCTGCTCTAAGGTTATGTTAGATAAAAAAAAAACAAAAAAACATTGTTTTTCATGAATTTCTTATAGAAGCACTTTTGTTATTTTTCTGAATAAATTCAGGCAAGATGGCATTTCTTATTACATTGACATTCATTTCTGCCATCAAAAATATATATATTTTTTGAATGTTACAAAGGTTATAAGGTCTTGTTCCAATGAAATTTCCCTTGTTTCACTGAGGGCCCTATAAAGGGTTAAACAGGGATATAAATCACACAGAGGGCTCTTTCAGTTTGAACAAACACAAGTCTTGGAACAAACTAAAATCAGATTAAAATTCACCTTAATGCGAACTTCATGAGCCCTGGGTGGGGCTACCTCCACCTCCTCAATGGACAGGGGCTTCCCTGCTTCCCAAGCAACAGCTGCCTTGCATTTGATCACCTGCAGGAAAAATGAATTAAAAACTAATCAGGTGTTAACACGATCAAAGTACACCCTGCTTTGCTGAGAGGGGTTCCCACAGCCAGAATCTTCCTGCTGAATCTGACCCATAATCTACCTTTACTGCCAAGTTAAATCCGTTTACTTCACTATGCGACAATGATTTTTACCACGAGTTGTTTTTATTGTATTATTTGCTGGAAAGGAAACAAAGAGCATAGGCAGGATTAGGGAGAGGCGTTGCAAAATCCAGAAAGCACCAGCTGGATCTGACCTGCCAAAGGTCCTCGATGATCAGTTAGCGGACACTGATTCCCTGCTGCCTTCATTAAACTCGTTTTTATGCATTCTTCCATCTTAGCGCACAAAACATACGGAATGAATCATGCAAAGCACTACTAAAGGATCCCCTTGCATCTAAACGTGAGGGTAAAAAGGCATATCACATATTTCAGCTATTGTTTGTGGAAAACTTACTTTCCCAGCTGTCTCCATGTTCGTTTCTTGTGCAGAAAGAGGAGGAGGCGGTTATCAAGCAGCCGTAAAGGAGGTAACCTCTTAGCCAATCAGAAGCGAGAACGCTCAACGTACGTAAAGCGTCACTTTGACCAAAGAAGATAAAACCGGGTCGAACAAGACCTTGCAAAATCTTTGAAGCTATAAATTCCTCCAGGGTGAAAAAAAATTGGTGTTTACGCAATGAATATCCGTAAGACCGGTCCAGAATACTTTAATAGAACTAAAACTAGAAATAGTAAAACGTTTCAGATAACCTGAAAGTCTATTTTATACCAATTTAGAATAAAAATTTTCATGTCACTCCCCAAAGATTATAACTGAAAACTGTGAAACCACAAACAAGTTAAAAGTATGAAAATAAAAATGTTATAATTCTAACTGTATTCTTGGGGCCAATGTAAAGGTTCCAGGTATGGAGCAGGTGTTAATCATAAAAAAGTCACTCAAAGATAGTAGCATTGATAGCAAATACAAAAGAAGGAAAAAAAAAAAAAGAAATATACAAATAGATAATCAAGCATACTTGCTTTTGAAACACTACAACAGCACCTAATTAAGCTGTCAAATAGTAATAAGAGGATAGATATGTCATAGTTGAGGCCTCTTACTACCTTAAAGAAGTAAACCTAATGAAAAAAAAAAAAAAAAATTCAATGCTACATTTCTCCTTGAATTTTTCTAAGAACAGGTTTTCATACCCAAAACAGTTTTCCAATATCATTGTTTTGTTTTTTTGTGTGTTTTTTTAAAGATATTCTTTATTTAAACAAATACCACTTTAGTAATGACTAAAGGTCTTTAATTGCTAATACACACACATTAATTTAAGGAGGTTTTACAGTCAAATGAAGATTTCAGGTTATTGAATAAAGTTTTTAACCCAGAAGTCAAAGTAAATAGTAAAATGGGTTGGACCATTGGACTAATCCAACTTGGCCTCCACATATTTAAAATGCTGTGATTATTGTAATGCTTTTACAGTCCTTTGTGTCTAAATAAAACAAAAATGCAAATGAAAAGTTGTTTGGTTGTCAATAGTACAGACTCTCTGGGTTCATAGTATTCATAGCAAATACAGCTTATTTTCTATTTAAGAACTGAGATATTTCTTTAATGATTAAGAATATAAAAAGCCAGTTCTTCATTCACTCCTGTGCTTCAGTTTTAAAATGCTTGACATTTCTCTGTTGAAAAGCTTCCACTGAAACAGTATGAAGTGAAATTTATTGATCTCACAATAGAGAAATGTACCTCTGCATTTAACCCATCCCCTCAGGGGGGCAGTGGGCTGCCATTGTGTGGCGCCATGGGAGCAGTGTGGGGTTAAGGGTCTTTGCTCAGGGAACCAGAGCGCAGGCTCTGGGGAATCGAACCAGGCACTTGTAACTTTCTCAGAGCACAAGGCACTGCTCTAATCACTAGGCCAACACTCCCCTTTATAGTATTTTTTCTTTTATTACTTCTCTTTGGTTTTAAATACTCTATTAGTTCTATGGTTAGCCTCAGATTTATGAGCTAAATAGCTGGTGTCAAATATTCTTCCATGCGTAGCAAACCTGCAGTATTTGTACCACATTTGAAGAATGGCTGCACATTTTGACAAACTCAGATTTACTTTACCAAGTATGTTTGGGATATAAATCAATTTACTGCAAATTGTCTGTTTAAAAGGAACACCCTTAAATAGACACAACTACATACAGCCGATTTAAAGCCTATTTAGGTCAATTCATCTTGTTTCTTACCTCGACATCTCTTCAAACTTTCATTGGTACTTTTAAACAATTTCTTAGTATTCTATAAACACTAAAACATATCTAGATTGCATTTTAAAGGAACACTTTAAATCTTGTATTTTCACTGTGCAGCACAGTGAAAATACAAGATTGCATAAATGTTTACTTATTTTGATTGTATATTTTTATTATTTGCATAAATTGCAATCTTTAAATAATTCAAATGTATATCCTTGAATCCAAGACTTACTCTCTTCTCTTTCTACTCATTATCTGATGTATTTGAACCAAGATTAAATAAAAACAAAATTATATCCGAATCAAATCCTGTTCCTAGACACTCATTAAAGATTCAGATTATGAATATGGAAAATTATTTCTAATTTTTAATGATCAAAGTGGAACAAACACTGAATAATTTTGTGATGCCCATTGGTAGACGGCACCATTTTGGGGTTTGAAATGACAACTGTACGGCCATAAATGGACAGTAAAAATTGACCATTTCATTGCATCGATACGTAAAAACTTTTGCAGTAGGATCAGTCTATGTATTAAAAGTGTAAAGGCAAACAATGTAAAGTTACAAAGTAACTCAGTATAGCCTCAGTTGATAAGGGAACAAGTTTCGTAACAAGGATTCAAGTATTTAAGCAAGTTGAAATTCCTATTGTCAAAATATGCGATATGTTGTGTAACTGAAATAACAGTAGTAATGCAATGATCTATGAAAAAGAGACTGGGAAAAGCATTGTGTAGCATATCTTCCTCCCCTCTCCCATTTCCTGTCTGCCTACTTTCAAAAATAAAAGTCACTAGAGCCTAAAATAATATTTAAAACCCGAACCACAAGGAATTGTTAAAACTTGCAAGTTAGATATTACGTCCCAAACCGGTCCCTTAACACCAACCCTCCATCCCTCTTGCTCCTGCAGAGGGTCCACCACATTAACTGCCATCCCAAACCACAGTGGATAGGGTGAGTGGACTAGCAGCAGGTGTAACGGCAAACTGACATTCAAATATAAGGTATGCTGGTTTGCACCATCTTCGTCACGATGACATGAAGTCAAGTCAGGAAAAAGTAATTACTTCCAAAAGGGAGGGTCCTTTTTGAGATGTTTTGACTATAAAGTTATTATAAGAAGGTTGACATGACATTTGATGTCATGTCAAACCATGTCACAGAGCTACAGCTGTGCACATGGGGCATTACTGTGTTGCCATAGGAACGACTACATTACTTTTTCCGTTGGAGGGAAGAGGTCGCCCCATTCTCATTTATACCCCCCCACTTTCAATCAGCTCAGCTTCCAGTGTGACTTCACTGGGAGTGACACTCTATAGTTAAGGGGGCGGTTTGGGACTGGGCCTTAGATTTCCAACTAAACCTGAAGACATGAAGTAAATGAAAACAGATTTATATTAATAAGAATACATATGAATTTGGGGAGCAGTTGCAATATGAAAAGTATGTGGCAAATATTGTATGGCATGTAAGACCTTATGTCAGTCGATAGTACACATGGATTTATTAATATAAAATGTAACTATCAGTTCTGGCTTTTCTATATTGACTGGATGATGCTACAAATAATGACTACAGTTTAGAAAGGTTAACCTAAATACAACATATTAAACATTAGATAAGATTCTAGTAATCAGTCCAAGTAACATCTGTACAAACTACTGCTGCTGTTTTATGCTTTATGTCGAAATATTGAAGGAATGAAAAAAAAACTCAAACAGTATGTTTTAATCAAGGCTTTCAACAAAAATACAAGTCTGATATTTTCTATCAAAATGTTTTAATCCAACCCTCGATACAGTCGTGAATGATTCCTTGAATCTGTAACTCCATTCAAATCAATTCAGAATAATAAACACTCTTTTAAGCAACAAGCTGGTACAATGACTTTGGAAAACAAAAAGGTCCTCTTTGTGTCAGAAGCAAGCAAAACACATGAACCTTTTAAATAAAGGTAAAAAAATGACTTAAAATCCATCACTGATCGAAAAGTGATGCATCCAGTATCTGAAGATATGTCCTCAGACTGAGTCCTAATGAGTCTTTGGCCAGAATCTGGCAAACTGAAACCTTCTAGTTGGAAGATAAACGACTGGATTTTCCACACCAGCAGAATTTGTTCACCTTCCGCCTAAAAAACAGAAAAAAAAAAAAGACATGAAACAACGCCTACCTACATTCTGAAGGAAGAAGACATTTCTGTAAAGAGAAAAGGTCTTACCTCTGAATCCACGTCCTCCTCCTCCACCTCTCCCTCTGAAGCCTCCTCCACCGCCTCGACCACCTCCGAATCCTCCTCCAAATCCTCCACGCCCACCTCCACCTCTTCCGCCCCTAAAACCACCTGAGCAAGAAAAACACTAGTTTTGCAAGCTGCCTCCAGGAAATAAAAAAACAAAACTACTCTTAGATGCAAATACTATTAAAACTGCCAGGAAGAGCTGCAATCTTAAGATCTGACCCAAAAATGATTGTGACAGACTATACTGACCTCCACGACCACCGCCTCGTGCTCCACCCCTACCACCTCCTCTTCCTCCTCTTGGTGGCCCCTTTTCTCCGGGTGGTCTTGGGAGGAACCTCTGCAGTGGCAGCAGCTTCATCGGATCTACATAAAACTGGAACCAAAGGTACACAGAATTAGTTCAGCCTGCAGAAGCATCCAAGATCGACATCTGAAAATTATCTTTTTTTTTTACCTTCTGCAATTTCTTGAATGAAGATGCTTTCATATTTTCAGAGAGCTTTACTGAAAAATACTGCAAGAACTTTATAAGAAAAAAAACCTTTTCTGAATGCAGCACAGACTTAAATCTTAAGACGGTTCAGAGCCTAAAACCAGAACAGAAAGGATACAAAATCTCGTAGTTGGCCGAATATCTCGTCCACCTTTCCGATCTGCTCCTTGTTTTCCAAGTACACCGGCGCATTGAAATAGGGAACTTTGTTTTCCTCTGTCGTACACTTGCACACAATGTCATCTTCACATGGATGCATGAATTCTCCCAGAGCTGCAAAGGCAATAGACAAATTCACATGAGGATATAGTCTGAAAATAGTTAAATTACCTAAAATACAGCATAAAAGATGAGCAATTTCAGTTTCATGAAGAAAAAAAAATTAAAATTTTTGTCTGGAGACTCACATTTCTGTATATTGTTGGCAAAACAGTTCAAACTCAAAGTAATAACTGCAACTAATGATTATTTTGGAAATCGAATTTCTGTCGATTCCAAGGGTTGGTTGATCTGTCACCTAAAGGCATATTTTAAACTCCAGTTAATAATCGATTACTAAATTAGTTGATGTTTATTACAATAATCGATTGATCATGATTAACCCGATTAATTGTTTTCGCCCTAGTCTAAATGTCAGTTTTTGTGTCTTACCCCAATCTATAATTGGTTGTTAGTGTACTTTAGCTAGGCCATTCTAACATAAAAATGCTTTAAATAAACCATGAAAACATCCATAAAAGGTGACTAGAGGCAACAATTGGCTTACCAAATTAAATAAATCAACATATCTTAAATTCTGCCAAATTTATCCATGTGCCATTCAGACTTCTTAAACTCCTTTCAGGCAGACATGGCCTCTAGATCCCAAACATATTTACAAGCAAATTATATTAGTTTAGACCAACAGGCCACAACGTAAGACCAAGCAGGTTTAAAAGAAAAACACAAAAGTTAATAAAAAATTTTCACCAACAAAAATAAATATGAACCAAGAAAAGACTGGAAAATGCCAATCCTGTTGACCTTTATCAATTCTCAACTTTAAAATAAAACAAAAAACCCTAAAGGTAATTATTGACAAAATAAATCTATTATCAAAACTCATGTTCTTTGGGATGTTTTGTTGCTAATGTTTTTAAATCAGACAAAAAGAATCTGTTGTAAAAGTAACTTGGATGTCAGTATTTTTAACTGGGTGAAAAACAAACTTTAGGGCTGTAAACAGGCCCGGATTGCTGTATAGAAAGCATCTCATTATTCACCCTGTAATTAAACATCATGTTATGTTTCCTTGAAGGAGTGTACTTCCATAAATTACTGAGATATTTATAAAAAGGGACCACTTTCCCCGAGGACTTTTTGGAAGAAAACCCTTTCAGCAGTAGTAGGACTTTACTGAACTTTTTACTATATTGCTGTGAGAGCATCGCTACTTATACTTGCAGTTGGTTTACAGCTGGGCTTACACTGTCCAATTTTTTGCCCTTTTCGGGGCGATTTTCTAGCTGTGCTAGAATTTTTTGATCCGGCCGACTTTCAGCATGATCGTGAGTCGTGTAGTGTACAGGGGGTAACGAGGGGCAATCAGCCATCAGGAATCGTGAAAAAAAAAATCAAACATGTTTGATTTTCACCTGACAGTCGTGGGCAAATCGCTCAGTGGGCATGTGCAAACAAGTATTCTTCTTCCTCCTTCTCTCAGATGTAAACACAGAAGCATGGCGGGGGTGCGAGTGAGATGGAGTTCTTTATGTCAAATTGACAGACCGTAGTAGCTCCTTTTCTTGTTAGGGCTTTCAGCACAAAATTACACAAATTGCCAAGGCAGCGCGTTTCACTCAAGTGAGCTTCATATTCCCCTTTATTTGTCTGGCTTCAGGATAAACGAGTCAGAGTAGCGCCATCTCACGGTGGAGCCGAGACAGACGTGATTTTTAGACGTACAGTGTGAGCAGGTAGATCGAATCAGAGCGTCGTGCTGCACATGCATCGTGAGCGGTGAACTCACACTGTACGACGGTCATACAGTGTGAGCTGCAGCTGTGTGCAACAATTGAAAAACCATAAAAAAAGAGCTTTTTGAAGATCAGGTAAATTTACAGTACAAAATCATTGTAGCTGGAAAGGCTTTCCTGACAATGCTTTTACCTTAGACGCTGTTTTAATAAGTTTGTTTTAGAAAAATGAATGGGGAAAGAGCTTCTTCTGCTGGAATGTGATACATTGTTCATTACAATGTTCTTATTTTATTTCATAGCTTGAAAGACCACAAATTACACGTAATATTTAGTCTGATCTCATTAAATTAAGACATCAGATCTGATGTTTCTAACCAAAATTTACACTGCATTAGAGTAGCTGTTTTAACAGGTACTTTTTTTGTCTTGAGTAATTTTTTCATACTTTTAAAAAGTAAAAAAAGTAGTGTTACTCTTCTTCTGATGGGGAACTTACCCACATCTGCTTTAATGTTATAAGCATGTTGCTTTCTGTAAGCTTTATATCACAGTGCAACTTTCAGTGTGTGTTTGAACAGGCTAGTTAAAGTTACTTTAAATAAGCCATCAATGCGGCTATGAACCAGACCATGCTGGGTCCCAAACAACCATAATCAGCCCATTATTCAAGCTTTAGAAAAGCTGCAGCTGCCTGTTAGAAACTGTGTAACCTACAAACACGGTGGCTGCATGATGTCAAAGATTTATCTGCTAAAAAAAATAAATATCATGTTAAGAGGCTGCAACCATCGTCTGTCTTAATGATCTTACCAACAACGCGCTCAGGAGGGCCGTAGTCTTGCTGTCTGTTGAACCCTCCTCTTCCACCACCTCGGCCGAATCCTCCACCGCCTCTAAAGCCTCCACCTCGGCCTCCACCTCTGTTAAAACCTCCGCCGCGTCCACCTCCACCTCTGAACGACATCTTTGCCTTAAAAACTCTGAAATATAAAAAACAATACGCGAAAGAAGCATAAAGCAAAACGAAACTTTTGTTCAGCGGTATAACATGTGTATTTCAAGCCAGCTAACACCAGCGTTGCTACATAAGCTAACTAGTTAGCTTCATATTCACCCCAAAAAAAACACAAACAATTGTGTATAAAGTAGAATATATGTGATATTAACGTAGAAGTTACAACAGGTCCAAATAACTTCAATAACATACTTACTAGTACAGCTAGCTAAGTGCACCGGAGACTCCAATCTCCATGCGACTGCACGTGTGGCGATCAGGAACTGTCGTAAACATTTGAAAAGTGTCGTAAACTTCTTCTTCTTCTTGTTGGATTTATTGGCGGTTCGCAACAAACATTTAGTGGCATTACCGCCACTTATTGGTATGGAGAGTGGTTCGTGATGGAGTGTCTACTAATAAACATATATATAATTTCTAATAAAAAAAAAAAAAAACACATACTGATATATAACTTTGTATTCACCCTCTCCATAATTAAATTCTATGAAATAATTTAGTTTTCTTTAAAAATCGAATAATTATTTGTATATGTTTCCTACCCAATTTCTTCCTCCAAATATCAAATAAATTAATATTTTCCTTAATACATCCAAACTCTCTCCTCATATATCGGTTTCATATTTATGACGTTCAAGTTTGTGTCGTAAACTTCTTCTTCTTTTAGACGTTTGGCAAGCAACTTATTGATGTGCATTACCGCCACCTACTGGAAAGGAGAGTGGATCGGGACACTAAATATAAATACTGTGTCGTAAACTCGCCCTGGGTTATTGTTCATATGAGTGGACACACCCTTCATCCGTTAAAGCATCTGATGCGCGTCACTGCTTGAAGTTACGGTTTTTCTACACTCTCTGTTAAACGCAACAATGGCAACTGCTGGAAAGGTAAGATAAATAAAGTTTTGCTTCCGATTCGGGTGTTCGGGTGTGTTATAACAATAATGAACTTGTGACAGATTAAACAAGGACGAGTTTACCTACCAATAACACAGTTAAGTTATCCAGTTTTTTTTTTTTTTTTTTTTAGTTTTACCTTCTGACCCAAAAGAGCAGAGAACTTTGCATAGTGCCAAATAAAACAGTGTTAGACGCCTCATGGTTATTATTGGTGTTGGTATGGTTGTGGTGCAAAGTTTAACATTCATTCTATGTTTGGCATATTTTTTTCTCTAAAGCAAAGTAGCAAAGCTTTCTTAATAGAGTTTTATTTTATTTTTTAACTATCTAGAGGGAATAGAATATAATTCTAACTAAAACTACAATATATCTGCAGACTGAAAATAGTCAGCTCATGTTTGATCTTTGTGTATATCTTCTAATTTGCATCTAAGTTGCTCTACAACAAGTCTGTAATTAAAGTTGAAAATTATGTTCAGCTTTGACTGTACATGCTTTTTGAATTCTAAGCTAGAGCTGATTAATGGTTGCCCAGAAATCTAAAAAAACAGGTTCTGGAAGTTCCTCGTCTAGTTTCAGAATCCAATTATAGCGTGTATTTCTTTAAGAGATTACTTTTTTACTTTTTTTTTACTAACTTGTATTTTTCCAGGTAATTAAGTGCAAAGCAGCTGTTGCTTGGGAGCCCAGTAAGCCTCTCTCTGTGGAAGAAGTGGATGTTGCCCCACCTAAGGCTCATGAAGTTCGGATCAAGGTTCTCCACATATAGATATTTTAATCTTTTTCAGTTTCACAGTATGTCATGATATTAATCGAAAAAGATAAGTTGTGTCGTTTCCTCTTCGTGGAGCTCGTGTGCAAACCATCAGCTTCCTGTTTCTGAAACTGCAGCCTGACACAATGTGGTGTTGTTTTGCATAGGTTGTTGCCACAGGCGTGTGTCACACAGACAGGGAATATCTGTATGAGGCTGGGAAAGGGATGAAACTCCGAACATTCCCTTTAGTTCTGGGCCATGAAGCTGCAGGCATAGTGGAGAGTGTTGGCCCTGAAGTGACTCAGTTTGCACCAGGTTATTTTTAACAGTAAAACTTACAAACATCAGAGTTCAAATTTGATTGGTTTTACCTCTGACGTTTAAGTCCATGACTCATGTTTAGATGCATGTTTTGCATTTGTTTTTTCTCTCAGGTGATAAAGTGATTCCTCTTTTTCTGCCATTTTGTGATGCGTGTGACAGATGTGAAAATCCCAAAACAAACCTCTGCAGGAAGAACTGGTGAGTCACTTGTTGTCTAATTCATTGAGTTGCCATCACAGTGTTGAGTTTAATCACGCTGTGATCACAATGTCTCTTAGGGAAAACACTCAAGCAGGAGTTTTGGCTGATGGCACAAGCAGAATTTCTTGCAAAGGTCAGCAGGTCTACCAGTTCCTTGGAGTCAGTTCCTTCTGTCAGTACACTGTGGTTCCAGACACATCTCTGGCAAAAATCAATTCCAGTGCTCCCCTGGACAAAGTCTGCCTGCTGGGCTGCAGCGTCTCAACAGGTTATGGTGCAGCTCTTCAAACAGGAAAGGTGAGCGATAGTTTCAATTAAATCCCTTCCTTCCTTCCTTCCTTCCTTCCTTCCTTCCTTCCTTCCTTCCTTCCTTCCTTCCTTCCTTCCTTCCTTCCTTCCTTCCTTCCTTCCTAGGTGTACTTAAGTACACTTTTTAGCTATCTATACTTTACTCCATAAATTATTTTGTTACTCATTACTCTTGGCTTTGGTTTAATGTTTATAAATATTTATTTTACGTCATGTGCGCCATCCAATGCAGATCATTGGTGCCATCCACATCTAGTGAAAACTAGTGTAACAGGATGAGTCATATAACACAAACACTCATTGTTTAGCTAAAGGAAATCATCAGAAGAGAGCAGGTGTTCTTCAAACTGCAAACGCAAATTATCTATGCCATGCTACAATGTAGGATTCAGAACAAGAAGTCGAAATGTCTGAAAGGTCGGACACAGGCGAGAGCGTATCAGGAGATGGAGACCAACAAGACCTCCCTCATCCTTAGCCCTATCTCAGAGAATTTTTCAAAATAGTCTAAAAACTGAGCTTTCATTTCATAAAGCGGCATCTGATTGTTTTTTTTAGAGGTTACTTTATACTTTTATACTTAAAGTAGTTTTTGGAGCACATACTTTTTCACATTTACTTGAGTAAAGAGGTCAAGTTGATACTTCAACTTCTACCAGAGTGTTTTTAAACTGCAGTATCTATACTTAAGTAACAAATGTCTGTACTTTAGACACCACTGTTGTAGAGAGAGATACAAGAACCACAATATAAATCTGAGTGAAATATTTCATTAGACCCATTGTGTTGTTATTAAAAGGTACCTCCACTAGATGGCAGCAACCCCCTCAAAACCTTCTTTTTTATTTTTTAGAAAACTGTTTAGAAGAGTTGACAGTGACATAAATGTTCTGTTTATTTCTTTAGCAAACAGTAAAGTACTCCCTCTGTCTGTTTTTCCAGGTTGCGAAGAATTCCACATGTGCCGTTTTTGGGCTTGATGCAGTGGGACTGGCTGCTGTCATGGGTTGTAAGGCTGCCATGGCCAAAAGCATAATTGCGATCGATATCAACCGTGCAAAGTTTGAAAAGGCCAAACAGTTTGGAGCCACTGAATGTATCGACCTAAATGATCATGACAAGCCCATCCAGGAGGTTCTGGTAGATAAAACCAATGGTGGGGTGGATTACGCCCTGGAGTGCGTTGGCGAACCAGATAGCATGGTGGGTTTCATTTCTTTTCTTCACATCTGAAAAATAATAATGTTTGAATTTTCTGCATAGATTATTAAAAAAAAGCCTCAAGTGAAACATCCTACTCTCCCCAGAGTGCTGCACTAGAGTCAACAAGAGAGGGCTGTGGAACATGTGTCCTCGCTGGATGGACAGAGACCGAAACAATGCATGTCCAGGTCATAAACATCCTGATGGGGCGCACCTTGAAGGGGACTTATTTTGGAGGTATTTGTTTTTTTAAATTTCCATCATAAAGTTTTATCTCAATACGTGAGATAAAAGAGGCCACCTGCATAGGCCGACTGAGGTTGAAAGAGATAGAAGCAGACATGCAGAAAGAAGCAGAGATACAAAAGTTAACTGTTAACCATCTCAGCAGGCAGTCCCATCCAGGAAACACACAGCCAGGCAGTCGAGCTCCAAGCCAATTTTCTTTACAAAGGAAAAAAGAGAGCACATACAGTTAGGCACAGTAAAAAAAGCAGGAGTACACTACACCGAAAAACAGGCCAAGCTCAAACCGCTGTAAACAAAGGTGTTGATTGCAGCAGAACAGCTGATATTTTTAATCCAGGATGGGGTCACAGCCAAACAGGAACAGACCAGATATAGCTACTATCACAGGAAAAATCAAAATGAACAAAAAGTTATGAGTGGAGCTTAACAAATGCAGAACCAGGAAAAGTGGTCCCTATGTCCTCCAGCAGTCTAAGCCTATAGCATCATCAATGTAGAAAATAGCTCAGGATAACTGTCTAATTTGGATGGTAGCAATACCCTAACCTCACAACAAAAGGCCCGTAAGCAGCATTATCTGGGTGGGCCTCATATGAAGTAGAACACCTCACATGAATAAATCTTATCGGGCTACCTTGAGTTTCACAGCCCCCATCCTCACCCTCGCTCTCTCCATTCATCCACTGGTAGCAATCTTTACTCACTGTTACAGCAGTGTCCACCTATTTTGGGAAGTTTTTTTCCGTTAATCTAGTATCAGGTGGGTTAAAGAGGAATTGTTCGCACCATTACATCTGCAAAGTGATGTCCTAGTCCACAATTGCAAAGGGGGCCTACCAGGTGTCAGTGATGGGGCCCCTAAGAGGTTGGGGGCCCCAAAACAACTGCAGTCTCTGCTTACCAACAGTTACGCCATTGGATGTAGGGCCAAACTAGATCCAAGGAGAAATGACTCTCCAGACTGAAATTTCCCCGCGCCGGATCGGCTTGTTAACGCTCTACCTCCACCTACCTCTCTACTCACCCAACCACTAAGCAAACATCACTTAAAATTGGACACAGTGTCTGCCTCATGGACTAAAACTGGTAGTTGGTTCCATAGGAGAGGAAACTGATAACTAAAAGATCTACCTCCCTTTCTCCTTTTAGAAATTCTAGGAACCACTAGTAAACCTGTAGATTGGGAGTGAAGACTTCTCTTAGAAACATAAGAAATGATCATATCTCTTATATAAGATGAAGCGTGGCCATTTAAGGCTTAATACGTGACAAACTCTGCTCTGCTCTTGATTTAACAGGAAGCCAATGAAGGGAAGCTAAAATAGGAGAGATATGATCTCTCTTTTTAAATTTTATCAGAACTCTGGCTGCAGCATTTTCGAT